TTTTCAGGATAAACTTAAGAGAATTTCGCTTTGCTCAAACAATGATATTTGCCATTGAGGAGATCAACAACAGCAGCTCTCTACTGCCTGATATCTCTGTTGGTTATAAGATATTTGACAGCTGTGGTTCAACGCTACCTTCAACACGTGCAGTGATGGGTCTCATTAACGGACAGGAAAGGACTTCTGGAAAAACCTGCACTGGTCATTCATCTGTTCATGCTATCATCGGAACCTCTGAGTCTTCCACAACCATCGGGATGCTACAAATTTCTGGGATATTTCAGATTCCAGTGGTAATTGTTTCAGATATGTGACAATTGTTATTGCATTGTACTCAGATGACATTATAGCTGTCCAAAAAGTTGAGTTATAGGCAATAATATTAATTTTTAAATGTTATCTGTCATTTTAATTGTCATTCTCCTTTTCTTTTCTATTAGATCAGTCACTTTGCAACATGTGCATGTCTCAGTAACAGAAAGGAGTACCCCTCTTTCTTCAGAACTATCCCCAGTGACTACTATCAGAGCAGAGCCCTAGCTCAACTGGTAAAGCACTTTGGATGGACATGGGTCGGGGCAGTCAGAAGTGACAACGACTATGGTAACAATGGGATGGCCACGTTTATCTCAGCTGCAAGTCAGGAGGGGGTCTGTGTCGAGTATTCTGAGGCCATTTCCAGGACTGGCTCCAGAGAGCAGGTTGAGCGGGTGGTCAGAGTAATCCGTAGAGGCACTGCAAAAGTTTTGGTTGCCTTCCTTGCTCAGGGGGAGATGGATATTCTACTTGAAGAAGCTTTGAGACAGAACTTGACGGGCATACAGTTGGTGGGAAGTGAATCCTGGATAACTGCAAGTCATTTGGCTCTGAAAAGGTACTCTGGCATACTGACAGGATCTCTGGGCTTTGCTATAAGAAAGGCAAAGATCCCAGGCTTGCTAGATTTTCTTTTCCAGGTTAACCCAAGTCAGGATCCACAGAGCACCTTACTGAAGGAGTTCTGGGAGGCAACGTTTGGTTGCAGTTTCCAATCCAGTCTGCATGGTGGGCAGCAGTGCTCTGGTTCTGAGAGACTACAAGACATAGAGAATCCTTTCACAGACGTGTCGGAGCTGAGAATCTCTAGCAATGTTTATAAGGCTGTGTATGCTGTAGCTCATGCAATTCACAACATGCTAAAATGTGGACAAAGCAGACCAAACAATTCATGTGCCTGGACAGGTCATCTAGACTCAAAAGAGGTTAGAGACTGACGAAAAATGCCAATTCTTTACAATTATGATAAAGTGAAATAATACACCCCTCCATTATTCTAAAGTATGTACTTTATCACGTCTTTTATTGGTAGGTTGGGAAACACCTTCAGGATGTGAATTTTACAGTTCGGTCAGGAGAAAGAGTGTATTTTGATGAAAATGGAGATCCTGCAGCAGCGTATGAGCTGGTGAACTGGCAGCCGAACCTACAAGGAGACATTATGTTTGTGCCTGTTGGCAGCTATGATGCTTCCCAACCAAATGAAAGGCAGTTTAAAATGAATGGAATAAAGATAACGTGGGCTGCCAAATCAATGGAGGTATTAATCTATGTTTGAAATGTCGACATTTAAATTGATTATACATCGTATTCAGTATAATGGTGTTATGGTTCACTTCATAGTTAACCCTGAAGTGTGGGTTGCATCAATCCTGATTTTGTTTTTGATTTTGTTGTGTGGCGTTAAAAACTATTGAGTAATGATGTCGTTTCAGAGGCCTCAGTCTGTCTGCAGTGAGAGCTGTCTACCAGGTTTCCGACAGGCTATGATTAAAGGAAAACCCATTTGCTGTTTCTCCTGCATTGCCTGTGCCGCTGGAGAGATCAGCAACTCCAGCCGTAAGTATAACATGTCCTCTTACTTGATTCTGTTTATTGTATTATAATTAAAAAATGTTGTATCCAATCTCTCAGTTTACAACATGAGCACATTTCAGTCTTTCACTTTTTCCATTCAGATTCTGCAGATTGTTCACGTTGTCCACTGGAGTATTGGTCAAATGAAGATCACAGCAAGTGTGTACCAAAGGTGATCGAGTTCTTATCTTATGAAGAGACAATGGGGGCTCTCCTCACTGCTTTCTCTGTGTTTGGAGCGAGCCTAACTCTGGCGGTCTCATGTATCTTCTTTTGGTTTCGTCGCACACCTCTTGTCAAAGCAAGCAACTCTGAGTTGAGCTTCCTGCTGCTCTTCTCTCTGACTCTGTGTTTCCTGTGCTCTCTGACCTTCATTGGCCAGCCCACTGAGTGGTCCTGCATGCTGAGACACACAGCTTTCGGCATCACCTTTGCCTTGTGCTTGTCCTGTATCTTGGCTAAAACCATCACTGTGCTTATGGCCTTTAAGGCGAAAAGGCCTGCAAAATCAGTTCCACAGTGTTCTGCTCCACTTCAGAGAACCAGTGTACTTGGATGTACACTGTTCCAGGTGCTGGTGTGTGTGGTGTGGTTGGCTCTCGCTCCACCAAAGCCTCACAAAAATACAGCTCATGCCAGTGAAAGGATAATTCTAGAGTGTGATCTAGGGTCCCCTATTGGCTTCTGGGCTGTTCTGGGCTATATTGGACTCCTTGCTGTACTATGCTTCATCTTAGCTTTCCTGGCTCGAAAGCTGCCTGATAATTTTAATGAAGCCAAATTCATCACCTTCAGCATGCTGATCTTCAGCGCAGTCTGGGTCACGTTTATTCCTGCATATGTCAGCTCTCCTGGGAAGTTCACTGTTGCTGTTGAAATCTTTGCAATTCTGGCCTCAAGCTTTGGTTTGCTTTTCTGTATATTTGCACCGAAATGTTATATCTTACTACTGAAACCAGAGAGGAATACCAAGAACCACATGATGGGGAGAAACCACTCATTGTAAAGACACATTTATCGAAAATCAATAAAAATGTCATTAGAAACTTTGATTTATAGACATCTCATACTTTGTAACAGTACTTTTGCCCTCAAAAGATTTTGAAAAAGGATTTTGTCCATCAAACTTGATTGAAATAAATGTCCATCGTCTACTTCTTGAGTGCTGCAGATTAAAAAACAGCACAAAAAGTTTGGGTTCTGTCAACATCACAGAGTATGTAAACAATATCATATCACTTTTCCCAGTGTGGAGCATATGCTTTACGAGTACCGCGTTCTTCCGAGCTCATCTGTATCAGAAGTGGCTCTAAAGGTAAAAGAGCAAAAGAAATACACCATAAATTTGAATATGAGTTGTATAGCTTGAGTAGGGCGGGTGGCATGATTGACTCTTTATTTTCAAATGTTGAAATTTGTCTGAAATACTCATAATTGTATCTGCAAAGAACAATTAAAGAATAGTAACAAAAGAACTTTGGATAAAAACAGTTGATAGTGAGAACACAACATAATGTTTTACTTGTGCAAACTTAATGTTGCCGATGTTTTAGCAGGAGCAAGAAGCGTTGCTATAGGCCATACGTTGCTCGTTGGCTGGTTCATGATTTCTTCAGGTTGCTCTTCTAATTCTGCTTTGCATCCGCCCTTTCCAATTGCTTCCTTCTCTCTGACTCGTTTCTGATGTATCATAAAACACTTTAACCTCTAGTAAAGATTAATTTAATCCCATATTCTTAAAAAAAATCGTTCTTTCACTGTCGAAAAAACACTGGAATATAACCAAAAGTGACTTATAGACTTTGTTCTAACCCACAGTCATTTCAAAAGCATATCAAACTTTTCCCAGATTTTTCAATCTTAAAAAGTAGCAGATATGTAAACTCTGAGAAAAACATAGAATCAGATGAATGTCTTAAAATGTTTTAACAAATAATATATTGTCTTCTAATACACAACATTTTAATAAAAGTGATGCAGGGCGGAGAATCTCCTTCTGATGAGCCAAATTCCTGTCTTCTCTACTGACAATGACCACCCCCCTAAAAAAAGACTTCAAAACCTAGCATATATTCTTGTGACAATGAAATTATAAGAGGGAAAATTATAGATTTCTCCCCTCAGGTTGGCAATGCGTTGACATTGACATGAGGAAGTCAAAATACCTCAATCTTACTTACGAAAGATCAGAAGATGAAAAGGCCGGCATGCACAGTGTCTGCAGTAATGTGGATACTGAAGCCAAACCAGAAAAAAAGCCCACAAATTACATTGCAGCTCACAGCAATGATGTCTATTTTTGTTGTTACAAAAATGTATTTTCTGAATTCAAGCAAACGGATCGAGATTCGATCGTAAGACAACTGAACATAACATTAGGAATATGAGTTAGAAATATGAATTAGAAATTCTACAGATATTACATCCTCAGTAGTTAGTTGGACATGTAAAGTACCTTCTTAGTGCAGTGTCTTGGTAACATTTTTTTTCCAACAAACAATGAAGTCAATGATGCAACCTTCTTAAAGGACAAAGATTAACTAGTATAGTCATAGTTGATTTCATTTGTTAAAAAATGAACGATTATTTTACTGTTGTAAAGTAATCTAAATGTATCCGCTACAGAGAAAAAAGTCAACCCTCCTACATCTAATTTAGCCACTGGCAGAACATCCATGAATATTTTTGATAAAATATAGAGACAACCCACATCATTATCATACTGTGATTTCATTTGAAGACATTAGCAATCGTCGTCATATGTTGTAGGATAAAGATTTGCTTGGCAGTGGAGATATATATAAAGAAAAATCCTAGTAAAGCAGAGGGTTGGTAGTATGTGAATTCCCATCAAATTATGTATGACTGCATCAGTGTTCTGTTTCTGTTGGTTTTTATTGTGCGAGCCTTCGGAACTGAGGACGACACTTCTGTTTGTGAGATGCTGGGGAGTCCAGAGTTTCCTCTGCTGTCAAAGAAAGGGCATGTTACTATTGGAGGAGCTTTTTCCATTCATAGCCAGATCTCAAAACCATCTTTATCTTTAAATGACACTCCAGAACCTCTCATTTGCTCACGGTAGTGATGATCCTTTAAAGTTTCAAAGCTGAAAGGTAGTGTATAAAACTCACAGATATGTATAAATGTATTTATATCTATGATTCTTTTCAGGATAAACTTAAGAGAATTTCGCTTTGCTCAAACAATGATATTTGCCATTGAGGAGATCAACAACAGCAGCTCTCTACTGCCTGATATCTCTGTTGGTTATAAGATATTTGACAGCTGTGGTTCAACGCTACCTTCAACACGTGCAGTGATGGGTCTCATTAACGGACAGGAAAGGACTTCTGGAAAAACCTGCACTGGTCATTCATCTGTTCATGCTATCATCGGAACCTCTGAGTCTTCCACAACCATCGGGATGCTACAAATTTCTGGGATATTTCAGATTCCAGTGGTAATTGTTTCAGATATGTGACAATTGTTATTGCATTGTACTCAGATGACATTATAGCTGTCCAAAAAGTTGAGTTATAGGCAATAATATTAATTTTTAAATGTTATCTGTCATTTTAATTGTCATTCTCCTTTTCTTTTCTATTAGATCAGTCACTTTGCAACATGTGCATGTCTCAGTAACAGAAAGGAGTACCCCTCTTTCTTCAGAACTATCCCCAGTGACTACTATCAGAGCAGAGCCCTAGCTCAACTGGTAAAGCACTTTGGATGGACATGGGTCGGGGCAGTCAGAAGTGACAACGACTATGGTAACAATGGGATGGCCACGTTTATCTCAGCTGCAAGTCAGGAGGGGGTCTGTGTCGAGTATTCTGAGGCCATTTCCAGGACTGGCTCCAGAGAGCAGGTTGAGCGGGTGGTCAGAGTAATCCGTAGAGGCACTGCAAAAGTTTTGGTTGCCTTCCTTGCTCAGGGGGAGATGGATATTCTACTTGAAGAAGCTTTGAGACAGAACTTGACGGGCATACAGTTGGTGGGAAGTGAATCCTGGATAACTGCAAGTCATTTGGCTCTGAAAAGGTACTCTGGCATACTGACAGGATCTCTGGGCTTTGCTATAAGAAAGGCAAAGATCCCAGGCTTGCTAGATTTTCTTTTCCAGGTTAACCCAAGTCAGGATCCACAGAGCACCTTACTGAAGGAGTTCTGGGAGGCAACGTTTGGTTGCAGTTTCCAATCCAGTCTGCATGGTGGGCAGCAGTGCTCTGGTTCTGAGAGACTACAAGACATAGAGAATCCTTTCACAGACGTGTCGGAGCTGAGAATCTCTAGCAATGTTTATAAGGCTGTGTATGCTGTAGCTCATGCAATTCACAACATGCTAAAATGTGGACAAAGCAGACCAAACAATTCATGTGCCTGGACAGGTCATCTAGACTCAAAAGAGGTTAGAGACT